CATGGGTGGAAGCGGCCCAATTTTAGGACCCAGAGTCCGTGCGGTAGCAGTCAGAAGGAATCCTAGAAAAGAGGAAAAGAAGAACGAAGAGAGAAGAGAGATTCAGAGAGAGAGAAAACCCGGCAATGGGAATACGACCAACTTCGAGAAAGAGAATGAGAATGGGCTGCGGTCGTTACAGTTGCTGGCAAAAAAGAGCGGTAGCGGCATCTGGTTTAGGATGGACGGGCCTTTTGGTGAATGTCCACCTCATCCGTCAAGCTATCCAGCCTCCCATCGTGTCTAGCTCTGCCAACGGGGTCATCATTTCCCCCCTCCACTCGATTCTGATCGCCGACGGCCCAGTCATCTCTGCCAAACGACAAGGACGAGGACGGTTTTATCTAGCAATACGTAGGGAGACCGCATTCATTCACCGAGTATCCGACCTATATCTATACGCTCAAGCAGAATTCAAGGACGGCCCCCGTCTGAGGCGGCTCAACTTGACCAGCGGCCAACGACTCTCGGATCTGGAACATCCCACGCATGCTGTCACTGCCTCTCTCTCTATACTCCTACTCGTACTGCTGTACATGTCATTCTCCTCTTCCCACGCAAGTCAGCAGTTGGGCTCCCCGCAATTATGTCATGCATCGTGGATGGCCTCGTCTGTCCCTGGCCTCTGGCCACTCCGAGGGCTTTCCTCGGACCCTCATCTCTTTTTTTTTCTGTGCGTAATTTGCATTCTTCCTGTGTCCCATCTTCTGTGTTCAGTGCCCAAGACATTTCAAAGGGCCCCCCCGGTCCCCACCGCGACTTGCCATTCGACTGTTGCCCGTCCCACCACCCGGACCGCTTGGTCTTTTGCTCGGCCTAGGGTTTTGACTCCCTCTTCCATATCGGTGTATGCTCGTATGAGTGAGCGCTCCGTACCACGCCGCGTGTGAATGGCGTTTGGCAATCATGCCCCCAAGAAAAACACACGACACGCCGGCATTGAGCCCCAGCAAGGCCGCCCACCCCCTTGATGCCTAACCTGAGTTGCTGTCTTGGTCGTTTGGCCTTCCGGAGCTAGCCCCGTCCCGAGTAGTACGTCTCCGGCAGGGCTTTTGAAGTTGGATCTTCACAATGTTGCCGATTTACTACAAAACTGTCCCATGCTGCTGCCCTCTGTGTCGTTCCCCCCCCTCTCAAAACCCCCGAAGGCCATCCCTTGCCGCTTCTCTATGCTTCAGACTCGGCGGCCAATTGATGACCCCGTCCACGGCCACGGCCCATTCCTCAAGTCGCCGTTGTCCTCCTCCGTCACCGCCGTCCTCCTCCGGGCTTCGTCTGGCCGCAAACCGACAGCAACATGAGCGCCGTGTCACGCAAGTCACGGATGGCCACCAGTGTGGCCAGAGTCATGTACACCAATGCAGTCTATTTCCCTAGCAGCAGAATATACCAAGGTGATTCGCCCGGAATGCTCAATTACGGCTGCATCAACCACGTGTATTATGCTTATGCCAGTGTGACTGCGGACGGCAGCGTGTTTGTGAGTCCTGACTGATGAAATTGCCCCGAGGCCACCATTGCCAGAGCGGCTTTGCCTCCCGTGCTCCTTGTTCGGGATAAGTTGAGAAGATTTCACCTGCATGATGTTGCACGGCTGGCTGACTTTTGTGACGTGTGGCCCAGCTTGGCGATGAGTGGGCCGATGCAAGAGCGCCAGTGGATGGCGTTCAGGGTGGCTTGGGATCCTTGATGCATCTCAAGCAGAGGCACCCTCACCTGCAGGTCGTCTTATCTATTGGTGGCAGCACTGCGTCCGAGGTATTTCCCGTCGTTGCGTCCAGCACTCTGCTGAGGGACAACTTTGCCAGGTCTGCCCTTGGCCTTGTTGAAGCTTCCGGCCTTGATGGTATTGATAGTGAGTATGAGAAGAACATCATCACATCCGGGGGGGTGATGATACAAGAGGCACCAGCCATCATCATCAATTCACACGCACACACACGCACATGCAAGCCCACGACTAACCGCACGCTGGCCGAAAATAGTTGCTTGGGAGTTCCCGTCCGAGGCCAAACATGGCCACGACTTCCTGGCCCTATTGGCAGCAGTGCGGATTCACCTGCCCGATGACCGCTTCATCTTGACGGCTGTCCTCCCCGCGGCGAAGGGGGTGCTCGACCTCATCGATCTAAAGACGGCAGCCGAGTACCTTGACTACATCAATCTGGTGGCGTATGATTTCTTCGGCACATGGACGTCCAAGAGCGGCCACCACGCACAGCTATACACCATGAACAAGGACGAGCCGTCGGCATCGTCCGGCGTGGCACATCTGATGGCCCAGGGGTTCCCCCCAAAGAGCATCCTGCTCGGAATCCCCACGTACGGACGAAGCTTCCTAAAGGCCAACGGACCCGGACAGGATTTCAACGGCGTGGGCGGCCAGGAGGGCACCTTTGAGTACAGCGAGCTGCCACGGAAGGGATGCAAAGAGATTGTGGATAGGCGCTATATTGCGGCCCAATGCGTCGGCGGCGATGGGGGCTTTGTCACGTACGACAACCCCGAGACGGTGAAAGCCAAGGCGGAATTTTGCAAGCAAAAGGGATTAGGGGTCTGTGGAGCTCCCATCTTCTTCATCCAATCTTTATGTGAGACGGCAAAAGAGAACTTTGCTAACGCTCAGGCCGTTTTTTTTTTAACATTGCAGGGGCTCTTTTACTGGAACGGACCGGCAGATTCTCGAGATCAAGCAAGAAGCCTGATCGCGGCGGGTTTCCGCGCTCTGCATACCTCTTGAGAGGCGGTGCCCTCGACTTTGATGATTATGACGTCTTTTTTTGATTTTTTTTCTCAATCTAATGCATATAGATTCTCTTTACGCTTACGCCCACGGTCCTTGCGCCCTTCACCTTACCGCCTCTGCTAGACAGAAGAGCAAATCGGAGCAGACGGGGGGCTTGGCTTGTCCAAGCTGTAGCATGACTCGGACGTTGTCGCAAGAAGAACCAAGGACGGAAGCGTTCCATTTTTTCTCTTCAACCGCTGTTCCATATCGCGGTGAAGGATATTCTTTTTTTATTCTTTCTTTCTTTCTTTGGTACAGGGCTCTTCTCTTGGGGAGAGCAAGGAAGGGAAGGTGGGAAAAAATAAAAAGGAAAAATAGAAGGAGATGCGCAGGATTTCATTGGTGCGCACTGGGGGAAGGGAAAAAAAAAAGCAACATATTCTGATGATATCCCTTGATAGACTTAAAATAGACGGGGAGAAGGCGTTTCATTCCTTTGTTTTGATTACGGCATATTGCAACGATTTCTTACCTTTTTTTCTCTCTCACCTCATCCTCCCTCCCCCCCTCTATCCCCACGCTGGCAGATTGAATTTACCCAATGCTCTCTTCGCAAAGACTCCGCCATTTGACGGCTACAGACGGACCCCATGGCTATTCATATAGCGTCGTTATGGCAAAAGGCACACGCCGGAGCACCAAGGAGGAAATTTTTGTGGCGCGCCGGGCAGAAAAAACGTCACTCAGCAGGTGGTGCGTTTCAAGTCGGAACGCCCAACTGGGGTAGAAGCGTCTGGGTCTGCATCTGGAAATTGGAGCCCCCGTCGTGGAGCTTCTTACGGGACGAGAAAAATCGGGCCCGGGATTCTCGACTGGCTCGTCTTGGAGAACTGGACATGCCAGGATCGGTGACGGTTTGGTTGAATTTAAAGTCGGGACGCACTTGAGCGGAGCGGCTGTCGCCGAGTTCGGGCTCTTTGGGCGACCATGATGGCTGTTGGGAATTTGGTGGGAACTCAGTCAAGGTCGGTGCTATTGGCAAGCTTCCACGGTGCTTGGATCAAAATTTCAACCTTGAAAGTCTTTGCTCCCGTCTCGCCCATTTCGATGCCGCTACCACCGGACGAGGAGCTGCAGAGTGGAAAGCTGGCCTCTGAGCAGAACCATACCCTCTCCCCCACGCCCTTGGTCGCAAAAAGTAGCATCCAGACATGATACTAATGCATTTGTCGTTGGTGCTCGCAGCAGTACGAGTACCTGGCAGCTTTCGACAAGGACTAATCCCGCGTCATGCAGCCAAAAAGGACAGCAGCCAAGTCAAAGCGGCCCATGTGCGAAGTATAACTTGAGAAAAGACAAGCCCATGGCGTGCTCCGCATAAGCCCAATGGCTTTAGGACAGGTATTAGCCTCAACGCTAGCAGAATGGATTCAAACGAGTCGAGTTGCAGTGCAAGCTTCCAATGGGCAGGCAGAGGTTACGTACCAAGTGTACCGCATCACGGGGACGGACTTCGTATACGCAGGCCTAGCAAAATCTGGAACCCAAAGTTGATTTGGTGGCCCAGAGTCCGAGTCCTGCCCGACGATGGAGATTTTCGCGCCGGGGAGCTGCTGGATGGGGAAATTGGGAAGAGTGATGTGAGCCTTTGGCACTGCTTGGCGTTGCTTGGGAAAATATGCCATATGATGCTTGCATGCATGCGGCTCACGTGGTGATAAGATATGTCAGGGAGGCATGCCTGGCCGTGTGTCCCGCGTCTGTCTTGGAGCGCGCGTCATCTTGCAGTTGAGAGCTCCAGTTCCAGTATAACGGAGCTGTGCTGCGCTGTGCTGTGCTGTGCTGTGCTGTGCTGTCAAGTCTGCAGGTGCTGTTGGAAACTGTCGAGCACGAGCTACAGCACGAGTTACAGCACGAGACCTCTGGCCACAGCGAACAAGCGCCACCCACAGGTGCTGCGCAGGTGCTAAACGAGCACATCAGCTATACGAACAGCCAATGCAGGCGCTGCACAGGGCGGTATCCCGCCATGCACAGGTAGCGCCAAAGGTACCTGGACGCTTCCGGTAGCCGCGCAGCCTCAAAGCCAAACCACACAGCGAAGGGGGAAAAAACGAAAGCCAACCGGCCAGGCAGGGCTGACGGACAGCAAAAAACCAACCAAGACCGCGGGCTTGAAGATGCCGCGTCTTGTCGTCCATCCTCTGCGTCCCCGTCCAGCCTCCCAATCGCCATGTCCGGCCCAGATCCAGATAGGGACGTGTCTTGCGCGGAGCCGCCCGCTCCGCTAACCGCGATTAACGATCTCTCTCCGTCCTTATCAGCATCGCAGACCCAGCCTCAACAACGGCCAGAAGCAGCAGCAGCAGCCTTGGCAGCCCGGCCCGGAGAATCCCCCGAGCAGCATCACCATCACGGCGTCGACAGCAGCAGCGGCCTCGTCGACGGCAACGGCGATGGCAACCGCAACAACGCCGACGACGCCGACCTGCCGCCCTTCGAGCCCATCTTCACCCTCCTGACCAACAACACCACAAACACCACCGTCCACCCTCGCGTCCACTACCTCTTCAGCGACGACGACGCCTCCGCCGTCCTCACCGCCCCGCAGACCGACCCTCTGCACCGCGCCCTCGTCGTCGACCTCGCTCCGCCCGCCGCCCCCAACGGCAAATGGACCGTCTCCTGGGCATCCAGCCTCACACCAAGCTTTGCCGTCACAGCCTCGCAGCTCTCCCTCCAGCAGCACGGCGGCAACGACGCCGAGGCCGGGTCGACGTCGGCCGTGCTTCGCGTCGAGGGCGTGGAGCGCGAGGCTGTTGCTTCGGGGCCCAACAGCCTCCCCAGCTCGGGCAGCGGCGTCGTCGGCCGGGAAAACGTCGAGCAGCTCACCGACGAGTTTAGGCGTCGCATGGGCGTGCTCAAGAAGGTCGTTGACGAGGGCGAGAGGAGGAGGGAAGCGCTGAGCAGGCTGGGCGAGGGGAGGGCGCAGCAGCATCCTGACCAAGGCGAGGAGCACGACGATGCTGGTGAGAGGAGCGTGCCGGAAGGACAGGATGGATGAAACCCCCAATTTGATTAAACGACGCGTGGATATTCCATCCGATGACAATCAACCTTCTCTGCCACAATATCTACTTCTCGACGCAACTACTCCCAAACGAACAGCAAAGACGACGAGAATGTCGCGCCCAACTTTACACTTACTCAGACTTTCTTCACAAATACCAGCACCTCGGAAAGCATCGCTTGGCGTACAGTCGCCTACAATCGGGCTTAGATTTTTGGCTCTTTTTTTTTTTAAAACAAAAATCTATTTCTATTTTACCCCGGAGTTTTGTTCCTTCTTCACTTCTCTCTTCTCCTTGTTGAGCTCAAAGACAGATAATCGTCCGAGCTCATGGTGATTTCGTTGCACTTGATTTACACATCAGATAATCATACCACCTACCTAGTACCAATCAATACGCTATTACCAAGCTGCTAACTAAGTCCTTCATCATGTGTTATCAATGATTGTTTTCACCTTGCACCTTTCAACAACCCCAAACACATCATCCAACGATACATACTAATAGTATCCAAAGCAATATGCGCGCAAGAATGAGAATGTTTTGATTAAAATTTGATTAAAAGAAAAAAAACTCTGCTGAGCGCCTCAAATGCTAAACTCCAAAAAAACTAAATCTGCCTGAGTAATAAAAAGAAACAGCAGCAGCCCGACAAAAGCGTAGACGGAAAAAACAATCGCAAGAGGGCATCTAAAACACAATCAATCCAATCGGCCATCTCCCGTTCTTCAACGACATAAGAAAAAAAAATTCAAAAGGCTCATTCCCTTTTTTTCAAAAACAGCCATCGGAATGTTTGTAGCCTTTTGCGTGGCGCCCAAGATCCAAAAGGCGTAAACAAAAGAAATATAGGCATATGTCCTTGCCACATGTCGATAGCTACTTTTTATACAATGTCTCTTTCAATTGAAAATGGAGTCAAAACGTGTGCGCGCGTTCCCTTTTATACCTCCCCTCTTTTCCCTTTTCCTCGATTTCACTTCGTTGCTCTCGTTCAGTTCAATGGAGGCGCGACGGGCATGTGAGGCCGTCCGTGGGCTATGCGGCCAAGTCTCAGGGCCAGAGCATCGTCCACGGCGGGGATGCGGGCGCTGAGACGGACAGCTGGCATTGCCACTCCCTCGAGCAGAGATCGCTTCTTGTTGCTGTTGTTTCCTCGGATGACGAAGACGTAGATGAGGACGATGATGACGACAATGGCAATAATGGCAACTGTACAGGTTAGCTCTGAATTCCAGCACCAGCGGCAGAATCGAGATCAACATACCAACAATACCGAGGCAAATCCACTTCTTCTTCCTGGTGGCCCTGGCGGTTGTGACAGCCACGGCAATCTCCTCGTTGCCCTTGTCGAGGTTCTCGACAACCTCCTCGCCCTTCTGCTCAATCTGCACAATGGTGGCATCCTGCTGGATGACCAGGGTATCAAGATCCTGCATAAGCTGGAACAGCTCCGTCATCTGCTGCTCAATCTTGAGCAGCTCCTTGTGGCGGTCCTGAACAGCGCTGAGTGCCGCACGAGCCTTGCCCTGTCTGTCGCTCTGCATCATGGCTTGGCTGAAGATTTGGCCACTGCCAGCATCGCTGATGGCGGCCTGGACCTCCTCATCCGTGGCCTCGGGGCGGACAATGCGATATTGGCGACCCATCTGTTGCTTGACGGCAGCCTGGAATTCGGACTCGACACCCTGGTACTTGGTGATGACGGCCTTGACCTCTCGATCGACTCGGCTCACATGCTCTCTGTTGGCAGCAGTCTGAGCATCGGGCCTGGACTTGACTTGGCGCACACGCTCGACAAGGGCACGGTAGGTACTCGTGATCTCGGTGGTGAGGGCATCCAATTGGAGGTGGGAGGGGCTGGACGAGGAGCTGTCGGTGTCACTGAGGACTCGGGTCTGAAGCATTTTGATCTGTCCCAGGCTGGCTTCGACTTGGCGGACTTCGGTGCTGATGTCACGGCACTCGTTGAGGACCGCGTTGGGGTTTTCGCGGGCCATGCCGCCGGCGTTTTGCGTCAGAGGAGCCATCTCGACTGCTGTGGCTGCAAATACACTGTTAATTTCTGAATAGTCCATGGTGGAACGAGATGTGTGCATATGGTGTCTCATACCTCCAGTCTGGTCGTAACCACGGCCACCAGCGCCGTATGGGGTATTATTATAGCCGGGAGGGGGGGTGTCATAGCCGCCTTGGTCATAACCACCGCCGCTATAGGCGTTGTCGTCCCGTTGGTCGTACGGGTTTGACTTCCCGCCGTATCTGGTGAGAGGCCGCTGTTAGTGACTGGAATGTGAATGTGGATTTGAGGGGCATTGCAGGCATATTGCATCCAGCAAGCTTGTGACTCTACTAACCCGTACTGTTGTGCCATTGTTGTTAGCGAGCTATTCGAGGGATCATAAAAGGATATGGATATGCATGTGAATCTGGAGGGGAGAAGCAGGAAGAGGACAGGAATTGGAGGCGAGAGCAGATGGTTTTCTTGTCGTCTGCTCGGACGCTCGTGTTGAAACGGCAGCCGTAGGAGAGTCGAGTCGGGGTGAAACACTCACACTCATTGTGGATGCGGGTTAGGAGGATTGGATGCCAGGGATTGATCTCGGTTGGTCTGGGCGAAGCGCTGCAGGCGGCAGAGGTCGAGCGAGTAACAATCGAGGAATCTACGTGTACAGTACGCTTTCAAAGGAAATAGGAGACGAGCAACCGGCAAACAAACTCTCTGTGTTGGATTGGACAAACGAAACAAAGACCAAAAATGTGTATGTAAACTGGCAGAAAACAAGGTCGACAGAAGGTTGCAAGAGAGTAAAATGGCCCAGGAGCAGGAGGCCCAAGCCCGGGTTTCCAGACAAGGATTATAGCGGACGGCGAGAAGGGGGCAGCTGCACTGTAGCGGGGCCTAGACCAGGTCGGGGCGGCCCTACGAAGAGACGTGGTGGGCGGGCGGCGGTACCGGTACGAGGGCGGGCAGCGGTGTTGGCGGTGCGGCACCCGGTATCTGTACAAGGCGAGTGCACCGTGGCGCCTGGTGTAATAAAAACAAAGGCACTGCAATAATACTATCACGAGCGTAATCTTGCACCGGTCGCTAGTTAAGGAGATCGACGGCCAAACGAAATCAACCACTTCTCTTTCTCTCTCTTTCTCCTCTCCCTGTCCAATGACCCGGGCCGGCGCTTCGTATAAGTACATACTGCAGACACCATTGAACTACCTAATCGATTGGTAAGAAGGAACTCGTTTGGTTTGGCTGATGAGCCTCATCGAAAACGAAAACGACACCCCCGGGGCAAGGCTTTCTCGCTCTTCTTCCCCCCCTCCTTGGTCTTCAAACCATCAACCTCGTCGCATCGCCAGTGTCAGATGGCCTCGACAACCAGCGGCCGTGATTGGACCAGCTGCTGCAGCACAGCACAGGCTAGTGGGTTCAAGGCCGGTGGCGCGCATTGATTTGCCCTGGCTGAGAGGCCGGGTGTGGCATCGGGGACCCTTGCCAGGGTTTTGATGAGTCGCAGAGATTGCACTACGGGGGGGGTCTCAGCTAGCGAAAGGGAAAGGGACTGGGGTCTCTTTTTGTTATGTTCTTATTTTCCTATTTTATTCTTACGGAGTATTGGCGGACAAAATTGCCTGAAGTGCGCTTGTTTGAGCTCGACTGGACTGGAATGGAGTCTGTCTACCTACAATACGATACTCGGACATGGCGATCACACACAATTGCCTCTCTGTGCTTGGGGGGACCCGCGCGTGCAAGCAAAAGATGACCTGAACGAAGCTGACACTGGCCAAATGCGCCACCAGCACCACGTAGCTCTGCTTTCGTACTCCATTCTTTCGCACTTCGTAAACGGGATCCGGATGCCGTCAGCATGGCCACCGGCTTCTAAAAAAAGACCAACCCGTCGTTGGGCGACAAATTCTCAACACTGCCTCCACGCTCTCGGTGGCCCAACGACAGATCGGGATTAACGCTGCCCAGATGGCGGGAGCAGGATTCCGTCTGGATGAACTGGTGATGCAGACCGATTCCTTCATCCAGAGAACTAGAGAAGGGATTATTCATACATGTTCAAATAGCCGCAATTTGCCTGCTTCCATTTACCCCGACCTACCTAGGGACAAGACAACAAGCATCGCGTAAAACAGGCGAGCTCGCAGGATTCCATTCGAATAGCGTGCGCGCAAGGCATCGAATCCCAACCAGCATCGGCATTAGCTCAAACTTCTACTTACTACAAGTAAGTAATAAGCGGCGTTGACAAAGCAGCTTTCAAAAATGGAAATCTATTATTAAAAACCCTAGGTGAAGGCCTAGATAATGTAATTCTCCCCGCGTAGTATACTTGAATTCTTCGTCGATTATTCCATCTCTTGTAAACCCTGCTCTCACAAAACCGCATAAGCAGAAACATAACTGACGCTCGAGTCATCCGGCCATATAACCTCACTGCTACGGTCATATTTCACAACTTTGAAGCGGCTCCTGTTCTCATCGGTGAGCTCCTTGGCATAAAGCTCCAGGGCGGCCATTGCAATTCCAATCGGATGTCTCCCGCACACCGTGTTTCCTGTAAGCCTAAGGTTTTCGACAAAAGCGTCATGGCTGCCACTCTTGACGGCATTCATAGCCGCTTCATCAACCAGACGAATTGTTTCATAAATGGGCGGCCCCGATGGCTTTGGGCTGTGGTCATGCAGCGAAGATAGCCTCCCAATGTCCCCTTCCGGAGTGTAGACAGCATAGTCAAACCGCGTGCCCCAGTGACAAAAGTCTGAGCTGATGACGAAGGCATTTTCTTCATCCTTGAGATAAGACAGAAGAAGTCGGCCGGTATCCTTCTCATCTGCTCGGCTGGTACTTCCGACAATGACAGGAACCACTTTGGGGAATTCTTCCGGGGACTTGAAGGTCTGTTGACATCGTTTGTAGAGATATGGCAAGTGCATTTCGAGAGAATGCTCGGCAACATCGTTCCTAACTCGCATGTCGTGCATCTCACCCGCTTCCTTTAGTCGTTCGATTATGTCCCTGTCCACAACGAAATCACCAAAAGGCGTGGCGTACTTTGCAAATGTTGTGACGGCGCAGCCCGAAAATCCGAGCGTATGAGACGGCCCGAAAATGAACACTCGCTTCGCCTTGCTGAGATCTAGACAGCTGTAGGCCCAGGCAGCATTCTTTCCTGAGTAGGCATACCCCGCATGTCTTGACGGAGGCGTCAGTGAGAGCCTAGATCTGGACTCTAGATCACTCACGGTGCAATGATGATTCGCGCCCCCGGTATAGGCAGAGAGGAGCCATCGACAGTCTCAGGAACCTCGGCAAGATACTCATCGAGCTCTTCCTCCAAATCCTTTGGCTTGCCAGTATACCACGAACCTGCCTTCGAAGCTGGCCTTGTATCCATGTCGTTGGTACTTGTAGATTTATTACACCTTGAGATGTAGTTGAATCATTAAGATATCAAATCTTCCAACGCCCTGGCAGCTCACAGAAAGCACGAAACAGTGCAAGTCGAAGCTGCTGATGCCCCGCCTTTGCGATGCGGGGTTATACTCTTGGAAGTAGCGGCCGAGAATGGATCTATTTAACGCCAAAACCTTGGGAAGTACCATTTGGTAAACTTTTTCGATGTAGGCATATCATCAATTAAGGTGCAGCCCGTTCCTGCAGCTCGAAATCTTGATACCAAAAGCATGAGGACTTAAAATATGGCATCAGCGAGGTAGTGCTTTGTTTGAAAGCAAACTAAAGCAAATTATACCATAATAACTCAGGCTTCTCATCTCGACCAGCCAAAGTTACTATTCGTTCTCAGGTCGTTGATTACATCATAGTCGACTTCTACTCTAATATGCCATGACAGCCGCTCTTTTTGTCCTTGATATAGGTGATTCGAGACATCACTGTATCGGGGCTTCATATATATGTCTATATATCCTTTAAAGCTAGGTAAGCTAACATGCCTCAGTCAATCTTGCTCTTCTAAATGAACTGAAACAGCACGCTTAAATTTTATCTGCTTTTATACAAACACTTCTAGCACTCCACCCAAGAGCCCGGCATTGCGGCTTCGTGATTTTCGACCAACATCCAAAACTGACACGCCATGTATTCGAATTCCGGGGCCCATTTCAACTTCCAATCAGTGGGTTTAGGCCCAATCTGCAGGTCTATTATTCGAAAAGGGAGCCAGTACTGCTCACCACGCCTGTCGATGAAACTCGCACGATGAACTTTTGGTAGCGGGTCGCCTCTCAACATGTGATGCCTCAACATTGTTCGCGATTCCTCAATTGCGTCGGCATCGAAAGCGCCTTTCGTGTTGCTCTGGAGGTCATGAAGAATTGATGCCTCCTTCTTTCCATATTCGAGTATATCAACCCCAGCAGCATCCAGCAAAGAAAGCCATTTATAGAGGCAGCCATGGAACAGCGTATCCCAGTGATTGAAGGATATGCCAGGGCAGAGATAACAGAGTGCTCCTCCAATAACAGATATAAGCGGTGTGCCCTTCCAAGCCGTTACTTCATAAACATCCCATGGCACGACCGTCTCCACAGAGATGAGGTCATCAAGAGTTGCCATACGGGCTATATTGGTCACAAAGCCACCCCAGTCTTCTTCGTATATGCGCAGCCATACGCATGGTTTCAAGCAGGTCATTAATCTCTCTGGATATCGGCCTCCAAGCGCCAAGGCCGCAGAGTGTACAAGGGACACCTTCTCCCGACTTGATTGAGCGACATCCGTTTGAGTAATTGTGCCGTCCTTTGAAATAAGGCCCTCCAACGTTTTGCACCTGATGACATTAAAGGCGCCGAGCCGGACAGCTTCAAGTCGATCTCTGAGTAAACGTAAATAATAATTTGGCATAAACAAGCTTCGGAAATCAGACAGTTTTTTATCGTTAGGTTCGAATTCTCTAATGAAATCCAGGAGTCTTTCCGCTGGCAATGCATCTGGTTCTTGGAGATATGAAGCGAATAAATTGGCTATCCTGCGTGGATGTCTCTCCGTGGGCCAAGTCGTCACAGACGATATGTCACCTGCTATGGACTCAATGGGTGACGAGCTACATTATCAGCATTTATTATAGAGTAATTTAGGAAGAATCACTAACAAGTGTCCTTCGCTGTGGTCTAGCAATGACTGGAGACCCATCTTTAGCAACAGTTGACATATCTCATATTGTTGACTCGACGCCGCATACTGTGAATAGTAAGCTTCTTCTCTTTATGGAACAATTGTTTCTCTAGACAGACATATAAGAGACTTCCCCCTGCGGCATTACGATCAAATGGGGAGGCATCTCTGTTATTAAACATCTCCCGAACACCAATCAAATCTCCACTGTTGATCTTCTTAATTATCTCCGAATCGTTTGGGATTATGTTGTATACACGATAGGTGTATGTCCAACCTGCAATGGCTGGTTCCGACATGAATTCGTATACTGATGTTGATAGCCATTTTGGTACCTGCAGCTGTGCTTGCCAAGCACCAGTCGATTTGGTGTGAGCCAGTGCGAACCGCAAATATTGTGCAAAGTTGAAGGCGAATAGATTCGTCGTCTTTCTAGACCTCGAAATAGCATCTTCAGTCTCAATAAGGTCTTCGTCTCTTTCAGTCTGACTGTGAGGCATTTTCTCCTGTGGTCGTTGTGGAAGAAGTTGTTGGACCTGTGCATGATGTTGTGGCTGGAATCTTGCTGAGGTGGTCTGAGAGCTAAGTTTCCGAAGCATTGCCCTAGCAATCAAATGTTAAAAGAATATATATACAAGCTAGATAATCATAAAGCTATAAGCTCACATTTGATATGCTTGGATTGCTAATTGTAAAAAGTTCATGCATCGAGATAGGCTCTGCTCAAGTCTCTCCAAAACAGCCTTATTGAGCAAGATCTTGACTGCCGCATATTTGCGCTTCATTTTCTTGTTTGCCTGCAGCTGTGTTCTCATATCGGCAACTAAAACCCCCAAAGAATCATGGGCTTTTTTGGATAGCTCAAGACAGTTCTTGAAGGATGCCGAGGCACCGTCTTGGTTGAACTCGTCTTCAATCTCCGAGAAGATGGATTCAAGGGCCTTCAGCTGGTCTACAAGCCCCATGATCCCCTCTGGGACATTTTTGAATTCCTGCCATAGCTGGTGAGTCTGGTAGATGAGAGTCGCCACACGTGGCACGGTTTTTATCACATCAAAGTTGGTGCTCGCCATGTCCCTTCTGTAGACAGGCGCCGCGAACAATAGCGATGTAGATCATATAGAGCAGGAATGAAATAGTTACAGGAAAAGCACGCGACAACAGTTAGGGGTGGAAACACCTCAAAAGAAACGACCAGAAGAAAAGAAAGCATTTCAGTCCTGAGGAAACGTCCTTGGCGGTAGGAGGGCACCGCCTCTCAACGACCAGAGGCAGCAGCTACATGGGGTTGAAGAAGTGGACATGGATGGAAATGATCGAAAAGTATTGGCTCAACATAAAATGCTACGCTGTTGGACATTTTCCTCAATGGTGGTTGCATGGAGCAAAGAAACAGAATGGGCGGCTCAGCGCATGTCCTATTCGCCGTTTGCATGAACAGGGGTTTGGGCGGTAAAAATGGATGAAGCTGGCTGGCGGATTTCGGCGGCCTACAAGTCGGACGTCCAACAGCATATTTTGCAAAACAAGGCTCTGTACTCTGTGTTCCGCAAGGCCCTTTTCCCTGTTTGTTTACGGAGAGATGCATCGGCTTTAATGCAGCCGATTGTTGACTCAGAAAATACGTCTTTCCGCGGAGAGCGATGCATATTGCCGTTGAAAACCGGCAGGATGCCGTTCTGCAAGGCATGTCTCATGTAACATGCAAGCGTGGTCTCAGTTCATCTCATCCTCCGCAAGTACAAGAAAGTGCTCCGAGAATGACATGAGTAGCACAGAATGTTATATTTGGGATTGGTTGTTATGTTAACTCTAGTCGAATATATCAAGGAAATGCAGGATTCAATATAATTATCAATACCTGCTTTCCAAGGCGTATCCTACTCCACCACGCAATTTCTTCTCACATAGCACCGCATTTCAGCTCTCACCGATCGCCAAGTCACATGGTGGGAGTTGTGGTTTCATTTGTTCATACTCGTCTCGATTTAGAAATGCATCATAATGAGGGGGCAGTGGACGCTAGAGTGGTGTTGTGCGACTGTGTGTGACTACACGCCTACATGAGGCTTTAGGTACGCAGCTACCCTGTGATACCATCCAATCTGCCATATTAGGAAGAGAGATATTATTTACCCACTGTTGTTTACTGAGTACGCCTGTGAAGAATTTGTATTATTCAGGTGTACATCGGTGAAGAATTCCAAGCATTAGTGCATGAATCCAGGTGGTTTAGGTCTATGAAGCAGACACCCGACAAAAGCTACACATGCGAGTAGGAGTTGTCATACTTTAGATCAGCGTAACCACCGTATGGAAGCGTAGCACTCAACTCAGCTATTGAGAAACAGCTGCAGTGACATGCGTTAGGGTGACATTCAATCCACAATCCAGATCAGCTCCCCCTATCTGGCTTGTTGACGTCGCATCTTGCCACTCACGGCGATAATGTCGTGTTCAGGGTGACGGGAGAGCCACAGCCGAGCCGATGGTCACCGAGCTGCGATCCATATGACCGCCAAGTGTTCCGTACTGTAGCCTCGGACAGGGCCCTGCTTTAGCTGGTCTGGCCATTTGCACGGTGCCCAAGGTGCCAAGTAACCATTGAAGGTAGCAATGTGAGGCTGCGGGAGATGATGTCAAGCGGTATCATGACGCAGGAACACACATGCAATCGCTGTGAATTGGCCCGCCTAGAAAGATGAGGTGCATCTGCGATAATACAGCAGCTCAATTCCTCAATTACCGATGATGTTTTACCATCTTGGTAGAAAACAGTGCATGGACCCCTTTTATAAAGCAACAATACAGAAATATCTTCCACAATGGCGTGGTGGCGCCACGCTTGGACAGTATAATTTCTGTTACGAGCGGCTTACAGTACCATGGCGGATATACTGTACGAATCCTCCGACTTGTCTGCAATGCTCGCCTCGCACTTCGTACATACGAGTGGCTTTTGAGTAGTTCTGACTAAGGTTGCCAGAAGCTCTGACTAGATACGTCTGTATTGAATAACCAAGGCACTGCTGCCTTAAGTAATAGCGCTGTCATCCATCCATCCATTCTTTGCCTCCCGCGATCCGGCCGGCCCTATAACCCAAGTGGCGATCTACATACCCCATGATGCCGGATTCCTGATTCTTCCCTTCTGAGTCCAACTTGTACAAACAAACTCTCAACCGGCAACACAATTCACTCTCCTCTCGATTCATCCACTCATCCGCCTGGATACGAAAAATTCCATCCACTAGCCTGCACCGGCCGATGCGGATGCTTTTTAGCTGCAGTCAAGGCGTTGACTTAAGTTCACAGCGTTCCAGGGCGCCATTCACTGTGGTCTGACGCTACGACCCCACCTGCGGCCAACAGCATTTCAACTCCCAACTTCCAACAATTGCTTCTTCTTTGTCTGCACAACTCCCGCTCTTAAATAGAGAAAAATCCGTCGCAAATTTTTCTCGTCGCCTCAACCATCTCTCGCGACTCTCCTCCCTCTCCTTCTCCTCCTCCTCTCCTTTGATCATCCCATTTCGCCTCCTGCAGCTTTTCCACGACAACGCGCGCCGGCCCCGGCGCTCCATTCCTGCTCGCAATGGCGAAAACCTCCCGGTTTGCGTGGTCCAAGAGCACCCGCATCAAAGTCATGATTGCCATCGACACGGCCTTCTTCCTTCTTGAGCTGATATGCGGCTTTCTGGCCCATTCGCTGGCGCTGACGGCCGACGCCTTCCACATGGTGCGATACGCGATGCTTCCTCCTTTCATAGGGAGACGACTAATTCTCTATAGTTGAACGACATCATCTCGCTAGCCATCGGTTTGTGGGCCGTGATGGCGTCGCAAAAGGCCACAACAGACGAGTTCACCTTTGGCGTAAGTCGGCCTCTTGGCCTTGACGCAAAACAGACGTGAACGTAGCTAACATTCGTTGTTCGCAGTGGGTACGAGCCGAGATTCTAGGCGCCTTCTTCAACGCAGTCTTCTTAATCGCGCTTTGCGTCTCCATCATCCTCGAAGCCCTGACTCGCTTCGTCGAGCCGCCCGAAATCAACAACCCGAAGCTCATTCTGATCGTTGGCTGTGCCGGACTATTTTCCAACTTGCTGGGCTTTGTGGTTTTGGGGGGTCACGGACACGACCACGGACACGACCACGACCATGATCACGGCGACGGCCATGGCCACGAACATGGTCATGAACACGAAAACGACCACGCCCACTCGCACCGTGACGACTGTGATCTTGAAGAGGGACAGTATGATGGTGCCTCGATCGCTGATGAGCAAGGGGCCGTTGGCGATGTCCTCCCTGAAGTAATTGTCCGAAGAGCTGTCGAGACGGGGCGCCGAGCTAGCACAGAGAGCCCCGAGACTTCGAGACGCATTCACTTTGGCGACGATTCTACAAGTCGAGATGAGTCCAACACCAGAGCAAGCCGAACATCTACCCAGTCCAGGGGCCGAGAGCACCAACGCCAGCCCAACAAAGGCCATGCTCGCTTCGCTAGCATCGAGGATATGAGCATTCACCCCGCCAGCTTTCGACAGGAGATTCTAGCTGCTAGTAGAGCTGCATCATCCACCGTCTGCGCGACTAGCCAAAATGACTCTGGGGAGGAGACTCCCTTTACGGACTCGGAGAACGACGTTAATGAGGTATCACCGCTTCTCCAGGACTCAAAGGGATCTCATCTTTCCTACTCCCAAAGCTCTTCCTCTAAGAAACCGAGAACTCGACGCGATTCTGGTGTGCACAGGGGCCATAACCATACGCTTCCACAAAAGCCAGGCTCCAAAGTTAGCGGGCACAACCATGCTGATATGGGTATGCATGCCATGATGCTCCATGTGATAGGCGATGCTCTGGGAAATGTCGGTGTCATCATCACGGCCCTCGTCATCTGGCTCACTGACTGGCCCGGCAAGCTCTACGCTGATCCGGCTGTCTCTCTCGTCATTACTGCCATTATTCTCAAGACATCCATCCCCTTGACTCTGGCTACGTCTCGTGTCTTGCTACAGGCGACTCCTGAGAACATCAGCATCAAGGCAATCCGAGATGATATCGAGACCCTCAAGGGAGTCGTCAGCTGCCACCACATCCACGTATGGCAGCTTTCTGATACCAAGATTGTTGCCAGCATGCATCTCCAAGTGTCCTCCGAACTCGACACGCACAACGGCGAGAAGTACATGCAGCTAGCTAGGCAGGCCAGAAAGTGCCTGCACGGCCACGGCATTCATAGCGCCACGATCCAACCCGAGTTCTGTCTTGACAACAACCACCAGCACGACGGTGACGCGGTGGCGCTCACTCATGATGGAACTTCCGAAGAGCCCGCTCGCCTCTGCCTCCTTGACTGCGTCGACGATTGTCGGGCAGAGGGATGCTGTGTGGTTGAGACTTCCTCGGCGTGCTCAACTCGACGAGCTAGCGAATCGTCGCACAGCGCGCACAGCGAGGGCCACAGTCACGGCGATGGCCACAATCACCAGCACTAGCCTCGCTGGCTTCTTGGGTTCGTTTTCACTCGATAATGCTCGTATTGGATACTCGATAGACGTGGCTAGATGCGGGCCACTTACACAGGCTTTATAACACTTCCTACCTTTGGGATCGGAAGTCTATGGCTACTCTGACTGGGCTCGCCATTTTTACTTTTAATCATTGTTTTAATATCTCATGTGGCTCCGCGGATTCATGGAGGACTGGCGTTATTTGCTATCTGGGCTATGCACGGGAACCCAAACTTTCTTTAGATCTTTGTCACTGTGTGTTATATCAAGCTTTTATTCCTTCTTTCGTTTCTTCTTCTTTTCTTTTCTGCCATGGGTATTGGGTTTACCATTTAGAGGTTGATGGCACATCATGTGGGCACGGAAAGCAAGCAATACGGGGGTTAATCACTGGGTTTTTTTTTCTGGAGGAAAGGCGGGGTTTGATCAGCGAGAGAAGATGGATGTGTCGATGAAAAGCGGTTCATTTAGTAAAATGCTTTTGCTTCATTAGATCAACTGCCTTGGTAGATCCATGAAGGGAGTTGCAAGTGGATGACTCTTGTTACGTGTTG